GACTGAAGTGCTAAGACAGAGGACTGCCCACAGGATAGCGGTAGGAAGTAGCCCAGTGTGGGGAATTATTCTCTGAAAACATCCACTCAGTGTGCAATGGCAGTCAAAGCAAATAGAACGTTAGAAGTAATTAAAAAAGGGATAGAGAATAAGACAGAGAATATCTTATTGCCTCTATATAAAGCGATACTACGCCCACATCTTGAATACGGTGTACAAATGCGGTCGCCTCATCTCGAAAAAGATATATTGGCATTGGAAAAAGGTGCAGAAAAGGGCAACAAATGATTAGGGGTTTGGAACGAGTCCTATAGGAAGAAAGATTAGAAAGATTTGGACTTTTCAGCTTAGAAAAGAGGAGACTAAGGGGGATTATGATAGAGGTCTATAAAATCATGACTGGTATGGGAAAAGTGAATAAGGAAAAGTTATTTTCTTATTCCCACAATCTAAGAACTATGGGCCACTAAATGAAATCAATAGGCAGCAGGTTTAAAACAAAAGCAAGTTTTTCTTCACTCAGTGCACAGTCAACCTGTGGAACTCCTTGCCATAGGATGGAGTGAAGACTAGAACTAACAGGGTTCAAAAAAGAGCTCGATAAATTCATGGAGGTTAGGTCCATCAGTGGCTAGTAGCCAGGATGGATAGGAATGGTGTCCCTAGCCTCTGTTTCTCTGGAGGTGTCTGACAGGGGAGGGATCATGTGAGGATTGCCTGTTGTGATCCCTCCCTCTGGGGCATCTGGCATTGGCCACTGCCGGCAGACAGGATACTGGGCTAGATGGACCTTTGGTCTGACCCAGTCTGGCCGTTCTTATGGGATTCCCTGCCGAGCTTGCAGTGGACAGCTTCAGTACTGACAGGACCCTGGGTTGGGGCCCAGTGGAGAGGGAGTGCCTGTGTCTCCCTACCTTTTCCTCACCTATCCCACATGGGGAGCTTCACCTATTCTTCTGCCACTGGCTACTAGGCCAAACAATCTGACTTCAGTGGAAGTGCATAGACTCTGACCGCTAAGCTGTACTACCCTGAACACAGGGGAATTGTATTGATGTTTGGACTGCTGGACTATACAACTGTGTCCCCAGGAGGGGGAGGCATATTGACTCTGTGGCTGCTAGGCCTTCTTACCCTGAGCCTGGAGAAGTATATTGATGCTGTGGCCACTAGGCCATACTACCCTGATCACAGGGGAGTTGTGCTCACTCTCTGGCCGGGGGAGACTTGTTGCCCCAAGGGAGGAGTGAGCAGTACTATAGACTCTGGCCATTAGGCCACACTGACCCCAAGACCGCCTGAGGGGCCACAGCAGGCCAACTGCCGCCTTCAGCAGTGAATGGGCAAGGAGCCTCTCGACAGAAGTCACCGAGTGAGACTGATTTGTAATGTTTGCACTGCACAGAGTAACACAGACAGGGGCTCTCTTCCCCCATAGCTATCTGCATAAATATTAACATTAATGGAACAACATGCGTAAATCTGCCATGCACCGAGGGGAGACTATCCCACTGCCAACACTCTCACTGCTAACAGTCAAAGGCACAAGACATACAGGCTCCATGAGGTTTTACATTAACCAGACACTCATTCAGAGGCTGTAAATTGCATTCTAATTCACCAGCGGATGCATTAACTCATCCAAGGGACCAAGCAAACCTTTAGAGAAGACTAACAAGTTCTTACATCTTCTCACTACAGCTCTACCTGCCACCAGACCAGTGCCTCGACTGCCCATTCATGTCGTCACAATACAAAGCTGCAGCTGTTTCCTTCTCTTGCTAGGGTGCATTTTGGGGCTGGTGCAAAGGGCAAAGTTAGACATTTCTCACCTGCAGGGAGGATACAATACGCAACATTTTTAAAATGGAAACGAGCATAGGCCTTCGCTCAAGCATGCAATGAGCACGTTTCACTTCAACTACCCCTCCAGACCTGTCCTTAGGACACACACTGACTGGTGTCTCTCCTGAGCAGAAATGCAGCACATCCAGTAGAAGTGGCTGGACACCCACCTGATGAAGTAACTGCCAGTATTTAGCTCTTCTGCAGTCCTTTTCCTCAGTAGATCACTAAGCACCCTCCAAAACGAGACTGACATCATTATTTCCATTTTACAGAAAAACAGAGCCACGGGACTTGGTCAAAGTCAGCAGCAGAGCTGGGAATAGAGTCCAGGTCTCCTGCACCCTACATTACTGCTCTATCCGCTGAGCCACACTGCCTTACAAAATGATGCTTCTAAGAGGCAGGCATGCTAGCCCAGGAATCCAGCTATAAATGAGGCTTATTAAGCCATCTACCCAACCCTATTGCAATGCGTGATCTGAGCTCTGCAGGCTTTCAAACACCCGAAAATGCCCTGCACAGCAGTCTCTCTGAAGGAGGTCATGGGGAAACAAGTCAGGACAAAGGGAAGCACAGATGCCCCATGAGGTTTAAAAAGAAAAACAAAGAGTTAATCAGATCCTCAGCAAATCCTATAGATGCCCAAGGCACAGAAGCTGTGGGGAAAAGAAAGCATAACAGGGCTTGATCTTCACTGGGCATCTAGATGCTGCTGCCATCTCATGATCCAGCCCCTCCACCCCAATCCATCCCTTAAAACATTAAGATTTTGAAAATGAAGTTTTAAATTAGAACAGCTGATTTTAAAGTTTAAGGGTAGGAATCCTTGACATTTACTCCATCCAGCCTTCTCTCCCCAGATCTTCTAGTCTGAAACTTTACCTTCCCTATACGACACTGGACTTTTCGGGAAGTCTCTGTTCCATCTAGTGTTAACATGGCAACTGGCCCTGCAACCTACCTGCAAGCAAGCATGGAGATGGGTAGGCAAGCTTGAAACTCAAAGCAGGGAAGCCCTAGCAGGTCTTGCTACAAGTCTAACCACTGTAGCAACGTAAACCTAAAGGCACAGAGAGCTCGGCTTTCCCTTAGGTCAGGGGTGGCCAACCTGCAGCTCTTCTCCCCCAAAAGTGTGGCTTGCAAAGCCCCCTTCCTCCCCCTGGTGCTCACTGGGGTGGCGATTCAAAATGGCGCCCAGGATGGCGGCCGTCGACCGGAGCCTGATATGGCCAAAAAGCCTAAGCTTGTTTTAAAGGGGTAGCCTTTAAGAATTCTGGGGGGCTCTTTTTTTTGCTCCACAATTCTGCTGCAGCTTTCACATTTTTTCCCGCTGCTGTTAGGCTCTCTTTGTTAAACGGGTTGGCCATCCCTGCCGTAAGTCATTTAGTGCTCCTCTGGAATCAGCTATCAGGGCAAAGGGAGGCATTTCAAATTAGAGATGTGACGGGTTAACCAGTAAGCATTGCCCTTACTGGGTGATGCTTACTAGTTACGGTGAATCGGTGGCCCCAGACGGGCTGGAGCGGCCCCCCACCTGCACCCATTTAAGTGGGTTAACCAGTTAAACACGTTGAACCAGTTAAACCGATTAAACAGGATTTTACATCCCTATTTCAAATCAGCAGCACAGCAAAATAACTGAGTCCCAACATGTCAATCGTTCGCTTAAGAATCAGTCCCGTCTAACCCTGGCATTATTTGTCCCAGTTCAGTAACAACTGCTAAGTCACTGTAACCAAGAGAGCTGTGGAGGAACACCCAACACACGTGAAAGTCTCCTGGAAGGAAAAAGGGGAGCATGCCCACAGACACCAGCCCTGTTACCACAGAGGATTTTTTAGCTGTATTTTCTGAGTATATCCCTTCTTCCTGGAATAAATTTCACCCATCTGTCAGCATGTAACTAATAAAAGGTAATATGTGATTTAGATTACGCAGAGGCTGAGTCCCAATCAATACACACACGGGCTGAGCAAGGAGTACAGTCACTGATATCACTAGAACGCAACAAACACCTCCCAATGGGGACAGGATTCCCTTTCGACCCTCTATTAACAGGCCTGGCACGCATGCGGCCTTCATAAATCTGATTCTCTCCCAGGGAAGGTTTCCCTTTCTGTTCATTTCTTGCATTACTCGGTTGTTCTACCACAGTGGCAGGCAACCTGTGGCCCAAGAGCCACAAGTGGCCTATCAGGGTTGTATGTGTGGTCCATGAGAGGGTGTGTTTTCCCACCACTATTACTGAAGTGACATGTGCGCCAAATGAGGTGTGTGCTGATGGCCTACGATGTTGACAGAGCGTGCGCTCCCTCTGTATCCAAAGTGCTGCTACGGTTCAATTGGCGCAGCCCGCAAAATCTAGGTATGTAAGTGCAGTTGGCAAAAACGACCCTGTCCTGGTTACAAGAATCTTGCAGCCCACTGAGATGAAGGACCACTCCTACAGCCCACTCACTAGCCTGGGTTGCCCATCAGTGCTCTACAAGCACGGACTCATCTCCAAAGAGTGTTCCAGTAATGCTGCAGTGCAAAAACTTCAGAGCAACACTCTCAGTTGAGTGGCTCACTCAGGCAAACTTCTTAAGCATGAAATATTTAACCAATGTAGGGCCCCTCCCTTCTGCACTCCACTCAAGTAACTTCTAACCCGCCTCTGAACTCTTAAGACATGAGCTACATCCAATAAATATGCCAAGCCTTCCAATTACTCTGTCTCCCACCACTCTCACCCACCTCCCTTTCCGCAGGCAATGGAGACCTAGAAATGGGACCCACCCTCCTTCCTTTTGGGCTGGGACACTCCAGAGGGAAGGACGAGAAAAGGGGATGCTAAAATGAAAGCTCTCCTTTTGCCAACAAAATCCATTCCAAAATGAACCGAGACACACGCCCAGAGAAATAAAGCCCATGATATGAACATTTCCAAATGTTTAAAAATGCGTCATTCCTTACAGTCCCCAGCCAGCTGTGATTATGCCTATCTCCTGGCATTCAACCACTGAGAAGCTTATTGCACTTAAAATAGGCAAATAATGGGGTAGGCACAAAGGAAGGTGAAAAATCCTTCAAACTCCCACTCCCTGAAACAAACTTCATAGGATGCATCTCATACAGCTCATTAAGGGTTAGTAAGCCAAGGTCAGTCTTACCTCATCCCACTCTGAAGCAAACGATGGAGATTTTTCCAGCCTTTTCTTCCCAGTACTGCAGTTAGAGAGCGATTCGCTCCGACTCCCCATGGCATCGTCCTCAGTCGGCGAGCAGGTTAGGAGGTCAGAGTCTGATTTGGACAAGCTACGGCTGAGTTTGAGCTCTGCTTTGGGCTTGCCTGCGAGGGGGCCTCGTGACCCAGCACCACCTCTGTCTCCTTCCTCTGCACCACCAGGGTGCGGCAGCCCCTGAGGAGTCACTGTAGTTTCCGGTTCCGCCTGTTGGATGTTTTTGTGCAGGACTGTTGCGTAGATCGCTTTCTGGTTTTGGTCCGGAGAGCTGGTCCGTACTGATCCAGAGGCAAGCAGATCAGCATCCTCCAACTGCATAGCAGGTGAATGGCCAGTGCCCTCCGTGCCTCCTTTGGCTACAGAAGAAATGAGTCTGAAAGGGTCCTCGTTTATCTCACACACCGGGGAAGAGCCATGGAGTAACCCTGAAAACTGCTCTGGCACCTGGATGTCCTGGATCTCTGCAGAATCTTGGCTCCGGCTGCCACTGCTCCTCCTGTGGTCTTCAGGGGGACGGAGACAGAAATGAAGAGATTAAAAAACACGGAAGAGAAGCAAAACTCCACCTCCCCTGGTGAGAGAGGGAGCGATAGAGAACAGTTCAGTATTGTTTAAGTACTCAACTTGTACCCAAAGTCCCAGCATTTATGAAATTCCAAATACTGCCCTGATTTATGCAATCTGGCAGCTTTCCTTGTTGTTTTATTCCTGTTAACACTAACAATCAGGCCTTGCTATATAAGGCCAGGAGAAGTGCTAACCATATCCTGCAGAGAGGGAGAGGGAGGTAGCGGAGAGACACACACTCCTGGAACATTTGATACATTTCTATAAAGGCCAAAGTTTTATTTAGAGCAGCACCTCCCTATTCTTGGCTCAGACTGCCGATGGGAAAACTACTAGGCTGCAGTTAACCTGCAAAGTTCCAAAATCCCTTTCCAAAAGAGAGCTGATTTCTGCTTTGCAGACTTCGGGACTCAACTTCTCTTACTCAAGGCAGTTGGGGGACAGGTGGTAACATCCTGCTCCACCCACCAAAGAGTCTTGTTCCTGTTTACTAACCACTCAATATACAAGAGAGTCTGATCTACTAATGCAGCAAGCTGCTTGCAGTACTCACTGTCCCAGAAATCTGACACTATTCCTCTGCTACTAATGCAGTGACATCCTTAATATCAAATACCAGAGCCCCGGATAAATTGTGAATAATTGATTGAAGCCAACTCCCAACTGGCACACAAAAACAGAGCTACACATGCCTTATTCATGTGTGAATTGTAACTTTATGGGATTTTAAGACGCTTGGCAAGAACTATCAGTTTCTGATCTGTGTAGCCAAAGTTTATACACCTGTCAGTGACAGCTAGTATTCACATACTGTAACCACTAGAACTTAATGCTGGGCTTCCTTTTTAGCAACAGGTTTGATTTATTCATTTGCAAACATTAGTTCTTGGATTGTATAAATGTAACATGTCCTTTTTCCTGGAAAGGAATAGCAAACGTGATTAGCAGTTCACATGTGGAAGCTACTTTAGACATGGATGTCACAAGTAACATGCGTTTGATTCAAGAAAAAGTGGGTGCTGTAATATCTTTTATTGGCCCAACATTTGTTGATGGAAGGGACATGTTTCTGAGCTTCCCATAGCTCTCTCAGGTCTGGAGAAAGTAGCCGGAGCGTGTCAGCTGAAAACTAGCATAAAGGATTTGGCCCACCTTGTATTTAGCTCAAACACTGGTTGTTTTTTCTAGAAATGAAAAGCTCTGCGAGATTCAAAAACTCATCTCTTCCACCAATAGAAGATGTTTCAGCAAAACATCCAGAGAACAACATAGCTACAGCAACACTGTAAATGTGTGTTCGATTCATTTTAATTTAGTCCCTTACACATTTGTTCCATAGAAATACATGAGACCGTTTGTACAAGCAGCAGCTTCTGCCTGAGAACAGAATCGCAGCACAGGTCCCAACGGAGGTGAGCTCGAAAGGGCAGTCCAGTGAGGGAACTTACACTTTTTCTTGCCTGTGTAAAGCCCCACTATGACCACTGCAGATACAAAATCCCCAAAACAAAAAATTCAGTAGGTAAAAATTCTAATGAAGTGAAGTACCTGGAAACGATTATCAATGCATGTAAATACAGAGTAAAGTCTGCAAACGAAACTGCTAATTGGGGAAAAAGGAGACTTCTGTGCAGTTACAAGACTTGCACTCTCTCTTACACACTTAGTCACGTGACCGTGTTGCAGGACCAGACCATGCGTTCGATATATCCCTGAGCCACATGACAGCTTTGCAAAGATACAAGGCTGTAACGTAAGCCAGAAATACATTAAGGACGTTCCATCCATCAAACAGCAAGGTCAAACCCTGCTCTAACCACAGCAAATCCTTTCATCTCGGATAACCATTCTCACCACAGGGGAAAGTACTGCACAGACTGGACCTTTGTCTTAACTTGAAGATCAAGAGTCTTGATGACCTTAGCAGCCTCTTCTCATTCCTTTTCTATTCCTAACTGCCCATTTCGTCAACGCCCCAGGTTAACATTTACTGGCATTTCTGTCCCGAGGCAGCTGGCTATAGTTTGTCGCGTGCTGGAAAACTTTGGCCCACACGCAACAGACTACTCCATCTCCCCTCACAAAGACTAACAAAGAGGCCTCTGTCAGAAGAGAAAACAGCCACCCATTCAGCCTGCTCAAATGAAGAGCCAACCCATGACCAGGACAGAAATATCTCAGAGAGGGTGCCAGGGAGGAAGTAGGCAAAGTGGGGGTTGTGGCAGTTGCAGAGAAGAGCAGATCAGCAGAGAAAGCCTTGAGGAGAAGAATATTTCAGGGCATTTAACACAAACCTGTACTAAACCCTCTCAGGTAAGCGAAGAAGCAGGCTTACTGTTTGGCCAAATGCATGACAAGTGTGAGATCCTTACCTGTTGAGGTCTCAATCAAGTGTGAATCAGGGTTTGGATAATCCTCGGAATGGCTAGAAGAGAGGTCGGAAGAAGCTTGGCGAGTCAACGGCCATTGACCATCGTGGGAAGACGTGCCTTTTCGGGGCTTGGCCTGCAAACACACCTTAGATTATGCCCATCACACGGCTAATATGGCAGGCCTGGGCAAAAAATGGTCCACAGGCTGGAATTGGCCCCAGCACAATCCTATTGGCTATTTTTTGTTCAGAAACTGGCCAATGGGAGCTGCCTGTTTCCATTAACAGGAAGCCAAGTAGTACCATGCCCCCTTCCCTCCGGGGCTGGAAGTTATTCACAGAACACATGATTGCAGCCTATGTGGGGACAGGACAGGCAGGCTGGCTGCTTCAGAAAAGTGCTGGGCTGCTGGCTGGTAAATCTCCTGGTCAGAGCCTGCCGCTCGCACCCCAGCCCTTCCCTTCCCCAACCGTCTGCCCCCCACTCTACATACTCAAATCCTCTGCCCCCCTCCCGCACCCATATCCCCTCCCAGATCTGACATCCCAAACCCCTGCCCCAGATGACAGTCCCCTCCTGTCTCACAACCCAACCCCTTGCACCTCAATCTCCTGCAGCCCCTCAAACTCCAATTCCCTGCCCTACATCACAATTCAACCCCCTGCACTCCAGTCCAGTGCCCCAGGTCACAACCACCTCCTTCACCCAAACTCCCTTCTGCTCCTAACTTCCATCCCAGATCTAGCACCTTTTCTGTTAATATCATGGAAGAGTGCGGCCCCAATCACTCTCCAAAAATCTTGCCCACCCCTGTAGTATGGTCACCTCCACTACAATGGTAAAAACAGGCCAACCATAGATCTGCTAAATAGGTAGAGAAGCAGATCATCTTGGAGAAAGTAAAGGAACTTGGGGAGATTTTCAGAGGTGTAGAGGATAATGTGGTGGAGAGTGCATGCTTGACTCATCTGTTCCTTTGAAAACATTCTCTGTAGTTATACTTAGGCTATGTCTAGACTGTGCCTGTTTTGTGCAAAAAATATGCAAATGCAGAATATAGCTGCACCTCATTTGCATAATTAATGAGGCTCTGTTTTTGCACAAGAGGCTTTTGAGCAAAAAGGAGCTGCCTACATGGAGTCTACATGGCTCCTTTCTGTGCAAAAACTGTCTCTTGCGCAAGAGCCGTTCGTCCTGAAAAAAAAATGAGGAAGAACGAATGGCTCTTGCGCAAGGGGGGGGGTTTCTTGCACAAAAAGGCTCTGTTTTTGCTTCAGAAGCTTTTGCGCAAAAAAACTCTTGTGAAAAAACAGGGCCTCATTAATTATGCAAATGAGGTGCAACAATATTCCACGCTTTGCCTCATTTGCATCTTTTTTGCACAAGAGGCTATAGTGTAGACAAAGCCTTAAGGTTTAATTCTGAATGTAGTCTAACAACATGCATTTTGTCCATCCGGACTTTCAGTTTCTAACTGTCAGAAGATGGGACTGGATAACTCAACACTGCCCTCTTCTGTTCATTCCTTCTGAAGTGTCCGGCACCTGTCAGCATCAGACAAGATACTGTGACAATACAGCCATCTGTGTGCTCTTAACTAACTTCGGGCACATCTACACAGCAGGGCAAAAGTCAGATTAAGCTACGCAACTTGAGCTATGACAACTGCGTATCTTAAGTTGAAACAGCTTAATTCGGCTTTTGGTACTGTCTACACAGCAGGAAGTTGAAGAACACTTGTCCTTTGACTTCCCTTACTCCCCATAAAGTGAGTGTTACAGGAGTTGGAGTAAGAAGTCCTCCAGCTTCACCATTATTTTGAAATAATGGCATGCAGTGTAGACATACTCTTTAGTTATTCCAAAATAACACTGCTGTGTATGCATAGCCCTAGTAACTATTATAAATACAAAGACACCTGCATTTGACCGGGTAGTCAATCTTTATACAAGATTACACCTAATGGAGCATGTAAGCTCCTCTTGGGACAGGTCCCTTTGGAGAGAAGCCACTTCACTGGTACAGTGTCACATACATTGAAAAAATTTAAATCCAAGAACAGATGTGGTACAGACTAAGCTACTCAATCCTGGTATAGAACCAAGGAGCTGAATTTAATTAAGTGCTCTGGCCAGCAGTCAGGTACTTCCATACATGAAACACTCCCCTAGCTGAGTTTTCCTTACTAAAGGATTCTAAAATGGTTTAGTTTCACTGCTGTTGCCTTCCCCACACCAAGCAAGTCTAAGTCTCACTTCTATATAACCAGGAGGACTTGTAGCATGTCCCCTCGATGAAAAGCATCAAGCTCTCTGCTCTTTCCTGACCCAAAGATCAATCATGGTATTTGCTGGGTAGATCTTACCTATCCCTACGCCTGCTTTAAAGGGGCCACTTGCATGCAACTTTTGTGAGAAACTGTATGGCACAATGCATTAAAGTGTGTATTTTTTGTGGCACAAAAGAAACCAGAATAATTGGGTGAGATGGGGCAGACAGAATCACAAAGCACCACCCATGGCTCTAGCTTAATAAACTGAAAGTAGAAAAGTTAACTTCCACAAATTTTAAGTATGAATATTGATGCCTAGAACAGGAAACGCTTGCTACATGCATGTCTGTGTCTAGTAACTCAGGAATCATTCTGGACAGGATTTATGTCACCACCCTGAGAGAATGCAGCACTACTTTGCAAGCTTGTTTGCAAGCTTGTTCGCAATTTATTTCTGCACTCCCTCCCCCCAAAACAATTCAGTTCAGAAAACAACTTTTCCACCTTAAAGGAGGTGCAGTCAAGGAATGTCTTGGTTACTAGGAGATAGCAGTACTATTTTGCACTTTTAAACCATCTTGAGCCACACAAATGCAGACTTGTGTCTCCCTCTCAATTATGAAACACATTATTGGGTTTGCCATCTCCCAGGGAAGACAGAATTGTGATGTCAAGGAAGAAAAATTTATTTCTCCTGTATGACTGATAGTGCACATCAGAAAGAACCAAGTCACTCCTACCTGAGGCTGGTTACTGCTGAGAACACCTGAAGAGGAGAATTCCCCTTAAAAAAAAAAAAGAGGGAGAGAGAGAGAGAGAGAAAAAGACATAAAAACCTGGGAATGTTTTTCCTCACCCAACCTCTGACTTATCTCCCAAAATGCACTGGGTTTTACCAAGACACTCTGACAAATCCACAGGTAGGACCATGCTTATCGACTTCGTATGCTTTACTTTGCTACACATTTAAAACTTTGTCTTATTTCCTTTCTATATGAAATGGGAAGCTGGTTTGGATCCAAATGAAACTCCGCCCACAGCCTCAGGTGAACCTTAACAGTGCTAGAGAGATAGCTCTTTAAAAAAATCAGCCGCTTTATCGGTTTACAAAAGGGGCTAAGAAAAACACATGCAGTTGTGACTGGATGCAAGATAGAAAGTAAAAGCACAAGACAGGAGTAACAGTTATAAATGAAGGAAAATCCCATTAGAAACAGCCCAATTAGAACTTTGTGTCTTACAAAACACAAGAGCTGTCAAGCACATGGACACCATCAGTTTAGGATTAAACAAAGACTGTGAATGGCTAGCCAACTACAAAAGCAGTTTCCCCTCTCTTGGTGTTCACACCTTCACATCAGCTGCTAGAAGTGGGCCTCACCCTCCTTGACTGAATTAACCTTGTTATCTCTAGCCTTATTCTGGCCTGCATATTTATACCTGCCTCTGGAAATTTCCACTACATGCAGCTGACGAAGTGGGTCTTTGTCCACAAAAGCTTATGCTCCAATTCATCTATTTGTCTATAAGGTGCCACAGGACTCCTTGTCACTTAAGCACATGGAGCTCAAGATGCAGGGAGTAACTGACCCCGGTGCCACCTGAGTCCTGCAAAAAGCACTGTTCCTACAGAATGAGGAGAGGTGGCCAGGCCAAGAACAGCTGCAACACCTCTAGCCTTTCCACTCTGCAGCCTCATGCCTTATCTCAGGGCTTTAAAAAAATGGTCCATTAATTTGCAGGGTATAAGCTGCAAACAAAGTGCCATTTAAAAAGGAGAAAGGACCAGGAATGTTGATACTAAAAAGATAGTGACTGCTTTGCAAACAATGACTCCTGTTCTTCCCACAACCTCAGAATCTTTTCTACAGTACAGAGAAATGCGCTGGTAGTCCCCTTTTCCTCTAACAGCAGTCCCCTACCCACTACTTCAGCTAAGCCACCTCAAACTATTCAATCCAAAACGAAAGGAGCGAATACAGACTCTCAGAATCAAAGACTCAAAAAGATAGTGACTGCTTTGCAAACAATGACTCCTGTTCTTCCCACAACCTCAGAATCTTTTCTACAGTACAGAGAAATGCGCTGGTAGTCCCCTTTTCCTCTAACAGCAGTCCCCTACCCACTACTTCAGCTAAGCCACCTCAAACTATTCAATCCAAAACGAAAGGAGCGAATACAGACTCTCAGAATCAAAGACTC